CTTGAACCTGTCATTGGACAATGTCTCTCTGAGATGATCCAGGTTAGAATAGAAGGAAACTGGATTGATCCATCCATGGCATAGGCTGCCTCAACGGTCTTCTGATAGTCTCCGTATCGTCCTTCCTGTAGGCCATGGTAGCCCACGGTTGCTTTCAACCTAGCCCTTTCCGTCACTAGCACCTTTTCTTGGGCGTCGTGACCCGATGCGGCCTGGTATTCAGCCAATCCGATAGCCCTGGCATCAATGAACTCCTTTCCGACCAGGTCATACACTTGATCCACGTCGCTGTCGACCTTTCTCAAGTAGAAGTCAACTCTGTGATGGTCTCCTTGTTTTGGGAACAAACCACGTTGGATGGTCTTGATGAATTGTAGCAATGGGAACTCTTTGGTTGAGCCTTGCATCACTATCAATCTGATCCTCTTGAGCAACTCAATGGGATCCAGCTTGACTGCATCCTCGTAGTCTCCTAGACCTCTAAGCTTGGACTTCATGGCGTCGGTACAGTATGTCACCTGGATGGTGGTTGCACCAGTCTTGAGAATGTTCTCATAGGATCGAGTCGACTTGTCATAGATGGATGACTTTGCCTTGTACTCGCTGAGCTCCAATGCATCATACTCTTGTACTTTGGGATCAGTAAGTGATATCTGAAGTGTAGGCTTGGTCGGCTTGGTTGGTGCCTGACTTGTCATGGTCTCAATGGCCAATGAAGCCAATGGCACATCATTCCATTCAGGCTTGATCCTTAGGTCCTGAACAATGTGGGTCAGGGTCTCTTCAAAAGGATAATACCTGGTGTCAGCCTGTCCATTTGGATGGAAGAGGAACTGACGCTTGGGACTCTTGTTCTGGTTCCTGTAGCTGTTGCCTCTTCCTTGATGGCTTCTTCCTGAGGAATTGAATCCCCTACCCCCCCTAGAAGGGTATCTTCCTCCACCACGACCACCTCTTCCTTGGAATCTCATGGTTGCCGTTGGTGTGGTAATGCACTGTTGTGCTGTGCTTGTTCCTTGGAACTAGCTTGTTCTGTGGAACTGTTCTTGTGTGGATACTCCTGCAGGAAGGATCTCACGACGGGCACTACTCTTGTAGCTGCCTGTAAAAGCTTGTTGGCTGGATAGCCTTCTTTTGGTCACTCTTGGTGCACCTGTTGGTGGCTGGATAGCCTCTGTCTTTGACAGCTCACGTAATTCCTGAGGAAAACGTGGTTTCTTCTTTGGAGCCTTGGGTAGTAGCGAACTGCCTCTGTTGGTCCTTTTGTTGCCTCTGCAAAGCTTGCAGATGGTCTTGGTATGCTTGGATGGGTACACTGTGTGAGTATTACAGTTTGAAACAGGCAAACGGTGGAGTTTTAGGACTCCGTGTGGTTTACCGGGATTTTTGTGTTTCTCTTCACAATAGCACTGTATCACTCGAATCAACCTATCTCACTCAATTTTCGGAGTTAGAAGCTTGCACTGATACTCAGAGATGCGGCTAGATGTCCTCTATCGATTGATGTATGGGACCTCTTGCTTGCAACGCCTGTGTCAGAATCTATCTTGATCCCCGTTCAATGACTTCTGCTCGTTGTGATGAGACGGATCGAAATCTTGCGCGATGACGTAATCGGCTTCAACTCGATGAATAACAGCCGGATTTCCTTGCTTCCGCGTTGACACCTGTTCAGTTCAACGTGCTTGATCTGCTGATACTCTTGGTTTCCGTGTACTCCGGCCGGAAGTCACTTGTCCAGTATGTATCGGCGACAATGGGAATTCCCGCGCAAGCACCTCTTTCCTGTTAGAGCCTTTCGGTATCCTTTATAGTGTAGCTAGAGGCTGATTCTGCGCACCTCTTCTCTGTTGCAGGTGTTAACTCAAAGCTTTCACTTGAAGTCAATACACTTTGACTTGATTTACCTTGATATCAATCTCGGGATCGGTAGTAGCTCGAGATGGCCTTTTGCTTTTCAGTGTTAGCTAGTAATACTGCAGCTTATTGGGGAGTAATTTGGTTTTAGATTTTAAAAGCTGAAAAGCAAAAGTGAGGATTTTCTGGTGGTGCATAGCAATTCTTTTGATTGAATTGGATATAAGGACCCCCGCAACACTTTAGACCTAAAACTCCCTTGGTTCCTTGCATGATGAATTTGCATGCGAACCGGACTAGATGATTTAAAATACACGAGTCAATAGTAAAGAGGTGTCAGGTATATTTCCTCCAACACCAATGTAGCACTGTCGAACTTGGGCATGGTAGGATTCACATCACCGTGGCCGTTGTAGTTGATTTCGTGGAGTGAGTGTCATCGTTCCACTGTTTTATGCAGTCATTGACGAAGGCGAGGCCGGTATCATTGTTGTTACGATCGTTGTTGGTAGGATTAGAAACTCTGAACAGTAGATGGCGGGCCGAACACATTGATAGCAAGCAAGCGAGGGCTGATGAGTAGCAGTGTCGCCGCCAAGGGTAACAGTTGAGTTGTCGCCTTTCCACGGCCATTGTGGAGTGATTTATGAATTTGTCCGGATCTCCCCTTGTTCGTATGTCGTTTTCAAGGGTAGAAGACATATTCAAGACACTGCGGACAAGCGAGATCTGAAATTACCGCTGTTTGTTGTCGGCATTTTCAGCAAGCATGGTTGCATGGGCTGGAGGAGTAGCGCCGCCGTCATTGTCATGTGTGTAGGCGGCGTGTGGACTTGTTTTCGTCAAAATTGCTGTTCTTTCTACGGTAGTCAACTAAATCGTCGCCTTAGGCATCACAAGCATTGGAGCACCATTGGCTGAAGGAATGCCGTATGTGTCCGATAGGATGAGCTTGCCAGAAGAATTTTGCCTTTTCTGTACGGCGTCCGATAGGATGAGCTTGCCAGAAGAATTTTGCCTTTTCTGTACGGCGTCTTCGGAGCGATGGTCAATCTCCTCTGCAGTAGACGGCATACCTGGTACCGAATACACCAATGGCAAGCAAGATCTGAGTGTGCCACTAGCTGCAGGTCGTAGTAGGGCCAGTGTGTACGCAGTCAAGATTATTGCTGTTGTTGCAACTATGATAGATGGTAAACAATGGAGCGTTATTGGTCTCCTTGAAAACGATTGTCGTCAACTTTCCATGGTCACGGTCGATGTCCTTGTTATAGTAGTCGCATCGGTACCGGTACTGTCATGGGCCGTTGTCATGATACTCCTGGAGTACCGTTATTGCGATGTTCTTCGTGGTTTCTCGTACGCGACCTTCATGTTGTTGACAGCGTATCTCAAGCTTGGACATGAATTTGTCGTCATTTTGAATGATGGAATTGTTGTCCAACGGGTCGATCCATTGATATGAACAGATCTGAAATTGGAATCGATACTGGGGGGCGCCTCAATCAGTTACTGCGACTGTTAAGCTTCCCCTTCCAATGATTGGTGCTGACCAATCCTATTATTCTGGAGAATCAAATGGTGAGTCGTTTGTCCGCAGCCAAAGAAGGTGTTGATTGTTATAGTATTCCGTCACACAACCAAGATGTTAGTAGAACCGGCAGCGGTAGAACAATCCAATCCAATCCAATCCAATCGGAGATCGACTGTTGCGAGACCAACTTCCCTAGGAGCCGATAATCGTGAACCCAGTGGGAAGTTTGGTACAACACTGCAGTCGCCCTCCTCTCAGAAGAAATGGTATGATGTAGGCCTCCTCTTGCCGTTGTCGTTGCCGCTTGCTGTTGTCTCTTGGTGCGGCGATCCGATGCTCATGCTGCTATCAACCGCAGACAACGCAGCTGCCAAGCCAAATCGACTCTGGGATAGAAGAGACAACCAAGGCTACAACAGGAAAGTCACTCTCTCCTTGTCTCTTCAGCAGAACCACCTTCGACACTCTACAAACAAGAGGAGCAACCTTGAAACTGAAGGCTGCTTCCAACAAAATTATGTTTCCCCAGCAAACATCAATTTTGGAGTGACCCTGTAGATCCCAGTACAATTTCTACTGGCAAAAATGTTCAACTACTGGCCGCCGTGTTGAGGTAAAACAAGAGGTCCCTCCGGGTGCGCCAACCCACAGTTTTATAAAAAGGACACCGGAGGTGTAATGGATATACCGGGCGAGCTGAATTAAAAGATGAGTAGGCATAGTAATATTGTTGAAGTCTGGCTGAAGTTAGAGTCCTTAGATTTTTCCATCTGAGGAAGTGGCTTGGAAACTTAAGGGAGTTTAGTGGTGTGCAACATGGGTCATTAGATTTTTCTGTCTGAGGAAGTGGCTTGAAAGCTTAAGGGAGTTTAGAGGTGTGCAATGTGATTCATTAGATTTTTCTGTCTGAGGAAGTGGGTTGGAAGCTTAAGGGAGTTTAGAGGTGTGCAATGTGAGGAAAATATTGGGATCCGTTGCTACGATTATGAGAAAGTGTGAGGACTTCGGAAAACGGGGGCCCAAGCAATAAAACACTAACCCTAAGGATAACCAACCAACCAAAGCCCACCACCACCACAAAAGATGGCCTCAGAGATCACCGGGGTCTGCCCGGTATATTGTGGAGTGATGGGCAGGGACATACCACCAGGTACTTGGTACGTACTTCACGACATGTACTACTGCTAATAGGAGGTCTTAATAGGAGGTCTTTTAAAATAGCTATCCAGCTACCCTCACCAGGCAGGGCTGCAGATGGGAAACTACCAAGACAATTGTTGTCTTTCCTTCGTCGGCCAACGATTGCGATCCCTTGTAATCATGGTTCCGTGTTGACGGCTGTGACAAGCATTGCATAGCTGTCACTGTCATTGTCGTATTCCTCCGTGGTTCCCAATGTGGACTGACTCATCTTCATAGAAATCGTAGGCACCACTGCAATTGCCAGTTTATTATTTTCTTCTTGTCATAGACCAAATGTTTCTCGTAAGCGCCGTCGTAAGTCAGGGGTGGCAACAGTTGTTGGCTTTCCAAAAAGGTTGCGGAATATCTCTTTCTTGTTGTTGCTTAGCAAAGATGGGGGCGCCATCGTTGTTGTTGCGCGTGGAATTTAATCCTTGCTATTGTTGTGGCTAGTGTAGCCAGGGACCCGAGATGGTTCCTCGTATGTGTTGGTCGCGATATGGTTGGTTGTGGTTTGCACGGATATGAGCATACCGTCAGCAACCGAATTGGAGCTGTTGACGGCATCATTGCCGGACATGAGCTTGCCTGAATCTCCCCTTGCTTGCATGGCATCTTCGATAAACTCTGCAGTGTATGGTATTGAGGAACACATTGATGGCAAGTTGGATCGGTGCATACCGCTGGTTGCGCCGAGCTCCTTTGAGGAGTCGACAGTCAAAGGAGGTGCCTTGTTGTGTGTATCGACGAAGATAAAAGGTGACTCTTTCATATTATCATAAACCAAAACGGAGGGCGACTTCTCATCATGGACAACCAAAGGTGGCTTGTAGGCACTGTCGGGGAACAAAAGTGGCTGCTTATAGATGACCCTGTTGTCAGCAAGCGACGTGGGAGCGTGCGATGTAGTAGTTGTTACACATGTGTCAGCGAAGCTGGTTTGTCGTGTTTTCTGCCGTAGTTGACCAAAGGCGACTTTCTTCATGGCGACAGTTGTCAGCTTTCCTGGTCAGAAAATTCAGGCTCTCTGATGCAGTGGTCGGCGGCGGCGTTGTACTAGCTAAGGCCAAAAAAGGTGGTTTGTTGTAGGCATCGGCAACATTGATGAGACCGGAATTGTTGTCGTCCTTATTGAATGCCGACCATGACATGCGTGGTCTTGGTTGCGCAACTGGTCTCGTTCGTAGTGTTGCGAGCAAACAGTGTAGAGCGCAATTTATTGCTTACTGGAAGAGTAGTGTCGCCGTTGTGATCTCCAACGTGCCTTGAGCGTGTTGATTGTTTCATTTGGACGCCTCTACGCCTCTACTGACTGAGACGACTCAACAAGAATGGCAGCGATGGAGCCTGCCTTCCGATCGGAGATCAACCGTTGTGAGACCAACTACCCTAGGCACGGATGAGACCTGAACCCAGTGGGAAATTTCGTACAACACTATCAGTTTCCCTCCTCTCAGAAGAAATGCCACTTCCTTGCCTCTTGTTGTTGCCAGTCCTGTCGCGGCGATCCGATGCTGCTATCAACCGCAGCAGCGGCTGCTCCTCTTGAAGAAGGCTCCACAATGACAGGCTCCTCTTGTTTGGTTAGCGGCAGTGACGGATCAATTCGGTTCTTTCTTCTTCCACAAAGTGACGCCTCTTTCACTTCTGTTCGAGAGATCGCCACATTGCATGGTTGGCTCCTAGCTAGCGACCTTGACGGAGTTACTGGTAACAGTTCATGTAGTAGCAACCGATCGATTGATCGAGGCTGCAGATCAACGCCATTGTCTGTTCTGTCGTGTTGGTTGCGTGGTACAGTACGGTACAGTACCGGTAATACCTGTAGTGACAGAAGAGGCGGATCGAATCTGAATCTTGGTGAGCTTCTCTCCTCAGCCTGACACCCATTTTACAGTTCTGTGTACAAAGGTGTAGAAATTCTACCTGGAAAAATGTTCAACCACTGGCCGCCGTGTTGGACCAAAATTCTGACAGACCAACCCCAGAGAAAAAGATGGGTTGGCGATTCTGACAGACCAACCCCAGAGAAAGATGGGTTGGCGATTCTAAACCAGCCAACTCCGTGGTTGGCGATCAGCAATGTAAATGGGCTGGAAGGATAGATACCTGGTACCAGTACCCGCAGAAATGAATTGTTGGTGGCCCGAACAAAGGTCAAAGCAATCCAGCCAAAAATGATGCAGCACCATGTAAGTGGATGTCATTCAGTCAGCAGTTGGGCATCACAGGTAGCACACAGGTACAGTTCAAGGCGATGCCGACAACAAGAGATACTCAGTACTAGCTACTAGTAGATGACAACACGAAGGAGCATGCTTCAGAGGACGGTCAGAAGGAAGCGTTTTTGCGCCATTTTTTCAACAAAGACATGACCCTGCTGCGCTGAGCAATAATCATTTCAACTTTTGAGCTTTCTCAAAAGGACCAAATAAAGGGGGTACCCAACGGTTTATCTTGCAGAGGAGATTAAGCTGGTCCTAGTCGGCATGAATTAGTAAGGTCTATGCTGAATGGACCAAAGCCGACAAGGGCTACCTGTATGTGCCCGGAAGCCGGCTTGGAGTAGGCAGAGAAGAGGCGAAATTAGAGAGCTGTGGAGGCATTGCTTGAACGAGACATGAGAATAGAGGGAAAGGGCTCGGGAGTTGCTTTTGAAATTGAAGAAGCCCAGCTATTCTTCAATTTTCTTCCTTGCCATGCAGGGCTAGGAAGGTAGGCAGAGAAGAGGCGAAATTAGAGAGCTGTGGAGGCATTTCTTAACGAGACATGAGACATGAGAATAGTGGGAATGGGCTCGAGGAGTTGCTTGAAATTGGAAGAAGAAGGACCCAGGCTATTCAATTTCTCCTTGCCATTGTTTTCTTGCGTTCTTGAGGTCTCCTATACAACTATCCAGACAACTCCACAATGTCCAGTTTTTTCTTGATGCAAGCTCTGCACTGTTGCCTTGCAATTGTTCCCACTCTCCTCTCTCCAAGAATGATGCCATAGTGC